GGCACGATTTTTCAAAAAAATGCAATATGGGTATCATTTTCGAGGTACTTGGGGGTGCTCATTACGAATATGGCACTCATTTGTAAATCCAAGATGGCGGGCACGATTTTTCAAATAATGGCAAGTTGGGTATCGTTTTCGAGGTATTTGGGGGTGCTCATTACGAGTATTGCTTTTGTTTGAACTGTCGTGTTTGCCATCTTGGATTTAGAAATGAGTCCCATATTTGTATTGAACATTCCCAAACATTTCGAAAACGATACCCAACTTACCATTATTCGAAAAATCGCGCCCGCCATCTTGGATTTAGAAATAAGTGCCATATTCGAAACCTAAAACCGAAAATGCCATAAGCAAACATTAAAGAAAATAACTGTTAAAATAGATTAAAAAATCGCTTAAGAACGCTCCCCTTTTAAGAAAATAAAATATTTTAATATAAAATATTTCGCTTGAGTTACGAAAAGAAAGACATATAATAAACTATCAAAGTTGTACTGGTGGTGCCAACACTATAGTAGAAACAAATATATACTGTAAATTTGTTGCAATATGTGCTCCAATTCAAATAAAATTAATATAAATAATTATGCAATAAAGCATGAACGCAGAGCCGTTAAAAGTATTATAAAATAATTAAGTGTCCCAATCACTTATAGGAGTTAACGAAAACATTTAATGTTTATTCGAGTAAATATTAGTTCAAAATGCGCAAATAAATCGAAATTACAGGCACCACTAAAATTTACGTAATATAATTATTTTGATACAGAATAGCAAAATGGGGAGAAACAAAATTCGTTACTTTGCAACACTTTCGTATCTTGTTGCCGCGAAATTATTTTTCTGTTTTAGTGAATATTTACATAAAAATATGAGTTGAAACTCATTACTTACTTGTGGAATGCGATGTTAGTGTCTATTTTGTTTGTCTGTTGTATTTTTACACCCATTTACCGCACATTTCGTCATTTTTAGCAAAAAATTTTGGAGCTGTTCGCGGTGCAATATGACCTTGAGCACTAACAGCCCGCGCGCTCCTGAGACGCGTTTGGAACCCTCTAACTTGCCTCACTTAGCGTGTGCGGGCTAGGTTTCTATGCGTTATTATTCTAAGCTTACAAATAAATGGACGACGGGTCTAATACAAAAACCACGAAAAAAATGTCCCAAGTCAACCTATTCGAAATTTAAATTGTTATGTCATCGCAGTATCGCGCTGTCCGTAGAACAAATGAAGACTAAAGCGGAGTGTCGCGCTCTGTATACGATTTTAGCGCCTTTCAAGTGCGGACACTTTTTAGCGCGGACCCGACGTCCATATAATTGTAAGTCAATGTTCTGATGGTATGAAATACTACCACGGGCAATATTTTTGGTGCGGTTTTTGCACTAAAAAGTGGCAGAATAAGGCATTTTTCTAGGATTTTAGAGAATTTGCACGAAAGAATGACACAACCATATCATACCAAACGAAAATGACAGACTGAGCCCACAAAGGTCTTTCGAGACCTACAGTTGGCACCCGTCAGGCGGTAACTAACCACTTCTACTGTATTAATTGTTCTGTGTTGACTTACATGATTCGTTTCGATCAGGACTTGCATAATGTGTTTCAGTTGTCGTTAAGTAACGAACAAACGCGAAAACGAATAAGCGAAGGTTTAAGGTCGGTTTTTTATTTTTTATTAAGCAGTTATAATTATTGACTAGAATATTCTAAAGGAGTCTAGTCAATTTTGCATAAACATGAGAACGGTGGCGTAGTGAACTTGCATTGGTCCAGCTTTGGCTGTAGATTGAAGCTGAAATATGAGAGGATAACTACCGGCCCTCCTTGGCGAGAAGCCAGTTTCGACTCTCGACTTGAAACTGTACGCAAAACCTCTCGTTTGAACTACTCTTGGCAAATTAAACTTATCTGCAATTTCAAGTTATCTTCCATTGAAAACAAGACATTCGGTGCTAAGGATATGACATACATACGAGTATTCACTTCAGTGATGAGGTTTAGAGCACAAACTAGGGAAGAAGTATTTTTATTGGAATTGGTAAATAGTACATTATTGCAGAGTCAAGCAATCCCCTTCCCGCCGAGGCTTATATCGTGATTTTCTTAAACAACATGAGGAAATGATAGAAGATTAGAAGAGAAGAAGATGTATTATAGAAAAAGTAAAAAAAAAAGTTAATTAAAATTAAAACTAATATTTGATACAGTATTTGCAGGCATTTTCATTATCACTTTTCTGACTTGAACTTACTTACGTGATTATATACGCGACGAACACAGAAAAAAGGCCAAAAAACAAAAGAATACCCAAGCACTTTAGTCATCAAGTTTATGTACTCGATGACGTCGGTTTATTTTACCGTCTTTTTTAAGAAATAAAATTACGATTAAATTACGATGCAATTACGAACACTTGGCAGCTGGCTGTATGAGTTTTCCTTTTGCCTGTTTACATAGTTCATCTAGTAGGTAGATTTAAAAGTTTAGAGAAGTGGACATTAATGGATTTTCATACTCTGCAGGCTTTTGCCGGAAATTTCTTGTTATAGACTCGATGGCCGGAAAGAAGTCACACAGTCCACAAATGACAAACTTTCCGGATTCGTTTTTTGAAAGTAATGCAAACATTTCTGAGCTTGTTTGAGAAAAATAACTTTTCAGATATA